TCCACAACCCCTCCTCACCATCGTGTAATATTAAGTATCAACCTATACGTGCCCTTCTGATTTTATCCTATAAGAGGGAGGAGAGGTAGACTCAAGTAGCCTCATGCTTTCTAGTGGCAGAGCCTTCCTGGAGTAGCTGGAACCTGGCAGAGATGAACCCACCCTCACCAATGCAGAGCACCCACCATCTGTTGGGTTTTTAATACACATTCCTGGGTTTTGGGAGCTACTTGGGATTTTCCTAACTCTTTAGAAGTGGGCATTTGACTGTAGAGTATAATGTTTTTGTTTTTTTAATATTTTTTATTTTTAGAGAGAGGAAAGGAAAGGGAGAAAATTGATGTGAGAGTGAAACATTGATTGCCTGCATCCTACACGCTCCCTACCAGAGATGGAGCCCACAATCCAGGCATGTGCCCTGACCAGGAGTCAAACAGGCAGGCAACCTTTCAGTGCACAGAATAATGCTCAACCAACTGAGTCACTGTGGCCTGTTTTTTTTGTTTGTTTTTTTATTGTTTATATTTTGGGTGTATTTTTTTATTCATTCAAGTATTTTCTGAGCAGCTAGGGAGAAACAACGGTGTTTAAAACATGGTCAAAGAGGTGAGGCAAATGAACGAGTAGGAAAAGAAGTTCACTGAATCACAGCAGTCAGAAGAAAAGTGCTTTAGGAGATTAAGGTGAGATTGCTTTTAGCCTGGAAGGGGGCATGGGTGGGTAGTAAATCAGGAAAAGGCATTGGGATTAAAATAGAAGACTTCAGTCTGGACTGTTGATAATGCTCAGCATGGACTATACCTCTCCTTTTCCTCTTTCCCCATCTTTGGGCTTAATTTACCAGTAGTGCCAGGATTATTCAATGTATTTTTCCTATACTTGCTTTGTATTTTTGCTGTAATGTCTTCTATAGAACTAAATGCTTTCAGTGTTTTAGGAGTTTGTTTGTTCTTTGCTGTTTTTTTTTTGTTTGTTTTGTTTTTTTTTTAAGATTTTTGACTGTTTGATCTTGGTGTTGATGGTTTTGAGTCTTTCCATTCTGGTTTGATCTTTGTGTTTGGCTGGAGTGTCTTGTGCAAATTCCTTTACTGGAGGTTTTTCTCCAGCTTTTTCTTCTTCATCTTCCTCCACATCATCTTCTTCATTAGCAGCAACTTTTTTTGTGAAACTTTACCAACACTTTCAAGGGCAGAACACATTCTGGATATACTTAGGCGTTTTACATCTTCCTCTTTATCTTCTGACTCTGCATCTTCCTTTTCAGCTACTAAGTGCTGTCCACAAAGATGCACAGACCCAGAACCACACTGCAACCATAAGACCACAGGGGGTGTTATTCAAAGCCACTAAAGGAAACCTTGAGCTGTCCAGACATTTCCAGAGTTGCCAGTGTTAACTGTCAGTGGACTGCCTTCACAATCCATTGCCTCTGCTTCAGCAATGTGCAGCTCATCCTTTGCACCAGCCCCTAAGCTGGTCACTCAGAAAGATAATCGGCACCCCTCTTCATCATTATCCACCTTAAAGTGGCCATCTTTGTCAACCTTGAGTTCACAACTGAAAAAAATAGTTCTGGGGCCTGAGAGAGCTCATGTCTCTGTCCATCAAATTTTCCATGGGGTGGGAGCACGCACTTAGCGAGGAGAGAAGGTGGACAGAGATAAACAACTTCTGTTCCCCAGGACAGATGCATAGGATGGAATCGCACCAGGAAAAGCTCTCCCTCTTTTTATTTTCCTTCAGTCCTTGACCAACTGCTTTTGTGGGCAAGAATCATGGGGTGAATACTGTTAGTGTTTGTTATTTCTGTAACTGTCAGAAGTGGTGGGCAACCTGGCTCTTTGAAATGTGGAGAAATAAGTACCTTGTAGCATAAAAAATATAAAGAGGAATTGTGGATGGCATTGTCAGAGGTAAGAACTGGGCAGGTTATATACCTACTGCCTCATTATTTTGGGGCTCTCAGACTGTACATTTGCAGACCGCAGGCTACTGCCTGGCATCCGGTGGCTTTGGGCAGCTCTTGGGAAGGCATACATGGATCTACTGCTCTGTTCTTTCTCTGCAGTTTGCTGTAGTAAGCCTTTAACATTTTCTGTTAAGTTTGACATGTGTGAGTGTGTGTGTGTGTGTGTGTGTGTGTGTGCTCTTCAGATACTCCATATGTAATCTTCAAATATTACCACTGATTGGGCAATGTGAAGCTGCCAACACTGTCTAAACACTCCATTAAAAGCACAAATAAAGCATTATCTGCAGAATGGTCAGTATTAGTATGAAAACTGAAGGCTGTTTTGTTAATTCAAAGGAGCATGAATTGACAGAGGGTCTCGGCCAATGTTTATAGAAGAAGATACCTGCCCAGAGTTGGCTATCAGGGAGCTTCCTCAGAATCCCACAGATGATGGCTTGGCACCAGCTGTCCCAGAAGGTTGGGCAGAAACAATAGTCTGGGGACCTGAGGTGGCAATGTGCTCAAGTACACTGGCTCCCATGTCTCTCAGGGGCCCGAGGAGATATGTAAGAATATAGGTTCCAGAACCCCACATAGTGGAATCCCCAGAGCCTAATGCCCAGAGCACGGGGGCCGTTTCTGTAGAGAAAGATGGAGACACTGAAGAACTGGATTCTTGCGCTGGGTCTGCAGCAAATTTGTAATATGATCTCAGGTCAATCCCTTACCCTTGGGTCTCCATTTATTTTGTTTTAAGATGAAAACAATTCTGCCTGCTTATCTTCCTCAGGATTGCTGGGTTACTCCAGTGAGAGGGAAGATGGGGAGGGAGCATTCACGTAATGTTACTCACGTAGGCCTCTATAGAGGTGAGCATCATTATTTTCATCATTCAGGTCAGGAAGACAGGCACTGAGGGGTTAAGGAATTTGCCCAGGTCCCATGAAGGAGCCCAGATTTGGAACTTTCCATTCCTTCAAGGTGCTCCTCTGAGATTTTAGAAATCAGGTAGAGGCTTGGTCCTCAAACTGAGGCATGTGGACCAGCAGCATCACCTGGGAGGTTGTTAGAAATGCAGATGCTCGGGCCCTGGCTCAGGCTGCCTGCGTTAAGAGTCTGCATTTGAGCGAGTTTCCCAGGTGATTCCTGTGCACCTTAAAGTTTGGAAGCAGTGCTGTCAAAGAGTTGAGATTAGATGAGAGAGAGTACATGTGAGAATGAGATTATGGCAAACATGCATCATTCAACAAAAATGTAAGGTCCTCACAGGGATAAACAAAAAGGGAATCTTTACTGGGAAACCTGTCCCCTGTTTCAGCCTTTTCTGAGTTCCGTTCCAGGGGAGCATGGTCTGAAAAGTCCAGACCTCCCACAAGAACAGGCTTTTCGGTGGAAACGTGTGTGCGTGTGTGTGTGAGTGTGTGTGCATGTGTTTGTGTGTGTGTGTTTAAAATTCAAAGATTGCAAGATTACTTTTTTTTTTTTTTTCAAAATGAAAGAAGGAAAAGTCAGGAAGAAAGAGTTTAACAGAGTAAAATGTCATCACTTTTTATTTATGTCAGGAGGCATTGCTTTATAGGAGACAGCACCCAGCATCCACCAGGTAGGGTGGTCTGTTAGGTGGGGGGAAGTTTAGCTTCCAGAATATCTTTTCAAGGAGGGTTGTTGGTCCTCAGGTTAGAATCCTAAAACCCATCAGATTGAAGGCTGTTCTCCTGGCCCTCAGCCGGCATTGGAGAGCAGCCCCACTGCACTTTGCTCCCTAAGAATGCAACCAGCTTGAGGAGTATGGAAAAGCACCGGCAGCATCCCAAACTGCTGGTCTTGGGGGAGCATCAGTCTGGCACGAGGAGATTCTCAATCTGGGGCCAGAATGGACAGCAGGATCTGCTTCGGGGAAGGGTGCTGGATGCTGTGCTTCTTGCTTTTTCCAATGAACTCTGCTGAGGCTATCCAGCATCCCTGGGCAAGCTGGGATTTCTTACCAGTGACTTTTAACACGTGTTCTCATGTTAAAATTTGCAATATGTCTGCACTTCGTTATTTAACCCTTACAGGTCACTTTTCTGAGACTAAATCTGTTTTGTAAAGTGTACATTCTTGAATGAGTCAGGACACCACTTGTCATCAGCCTCCCAAGCCTTCATTTATGTTAAATAAATTCATGGCCCAAGAAAGAGCCAATCGGGAATATCACACAGACCTGATCCCGGCCTTTGAGAACTCGTACGGGAAGGCAGACTTAGTGACACATAAATGAATGTCCTGGCTGCAGATGTCAATCCAGATGTGTGCGCATCTGCTAAATCAGAGACTGCACATACTAATTGACCTACCAAGGACCATGAGGTCCTGTCATTCTAACTTTGGGTTCTTCCACCACCCTCAGCCCTAGTCTTCTTGTATGGGCATCACTTCAGACCAGCCAAATTAGAATAGGCTAAACCATTTTTTTCATAGTCTTTCCCTCCCTATTTTTTTTCTTCTTAAATTTTCAAAAGTCTGGAAGAAGAGGATTTAGGTCGAGATGATACCATCATTCTATCACCTCTAATTTCATTCTGTTAACAGGTTTTTTAAGCATGTAGGTAGAAGCTTTGATTTTGAAACATCATGCACTTTTTAAGTTTTGACTTCCAAGTAATTTCAGATTAGTTGTAACAATTCTCAAGAATGAATATGAAAGAGGAACTGCCTAACCAGTCTCCCCTGAGGACCTGGAGTCCTCACTCCCTTCCCAGCCCCTGATTTAAAGAAATTTAAGGGGGCGGGGGGGGGGGCGGTGAAGGCGAGGTAGAAAAAGCAACTATGATAGTTCCAAACCAGACTGGAAAACAGCCCCTCTGTCTTCTTTCCCCCCCTCATACTGACTGATGCCTTCTGTCGCCCTGAGAGGAACTGGGAAGGCTGGTTATTGACAGCTGGGCAATTTAGACAATAAAGTTTAACAGTTTACATCCCCTGGTCTGACTTTGTCGATGTTTTCAATAGATCACCTTCTCGGGAGCCAGGACTGACTCTCTCCTTCCTCTCTTTCCCCTTCCAGCATGCAAACGCAAAGAGCAAGAACCAAACAAAGACAGGAACAATTCCCAGAAGAAATCCCGCCTGGTGTTCACTGACCTCCAACGCCGAACACTCTTCGCCATCTTCAAGGAGAACAAGCGCCCGTCAAAAGAGATGCAGATCACCATTTCCCAGCAGCTGGGCCTGGAGCTCACCACCGTCAGCAACTTCTTCATGAATGCCCGGCGCCGCAGCCTGGAGAAGTGGCAGGACGACCTGAGCACCGGGGGCTCCTCGGCCACCCCCAGCACCTGTACCAAAGCCTGATGGAAGGACTCTCAGTTGGGCACAAGTTGCCTCCCAATGAGGAAAACACATACCAAAAGAAAACACAAAGGAAAAAGACACTGGATTCTTAGCTGGGGCCCTTCACTGGTGATTTGAAAGCACAATTCTCTCAAAAAGAAACTTCTAGCTGTAATCATAGGCCAGGTGTCCTTTTTTGTTTTGTTTTTAATGGCGATGGAGCCCGAGTGCAAGCTGAAAGCTGATCCGGACTTTGTCCTCTGAGCATGCTGAGCATCTCAGAAACCCAAATGGGGCCTTCCTGGAGCAAGTTCATTTCAGTGTAGTGTCAGCCAAGCTCAGGATTGCTGAAAATGTCAACAGCCCCACTTGGGGTCCTGTCAACCTCTTGCAGCCAGAGTTCTCACGAGTAACTGTGGGAACTCCGCCTGAGTTTGGGCTCCCAAGATGCTACTTTAAGAGAAGACTCTAGCAACCAGAATGACCTCATTTGCTTTCCAAGTGCTTAGCCACATCACACCACATACACCAAAGTTCACAGCCATAACATAAAAAAAAACAAAAAAACATCGGATATGATAATTACTGAGCACAAGTATTAAATATGAAGTTAAAAACAAACAAACCCAAGGACCTGTTTTTCCAACTCAGGCATCTTTTCCTGAATGGTTTTGAAAGCTTTACATTGGTCCAGTTTATAATTTTCTTTTCTTTACCTCCTGGAAATCTAATATGGTCTTGGATCCATCAAAACAACAAATCAGTTCACTTGAGCTCAAAGTATCAAGCACAACAAATATAAACAGAGAAGAAAGGAAGGTTTTGGATTCACCACCTCTGGATTTCCAAGACGCTGATTGTGAAGTCATTAGGGAATCACTGAGAATAAGGCTTCAAGCACATTTTGTAGTTTGCTACAAATTCTGTTTGTACATAATGCAGACGCACACTCAGGAGGCCAATTTAACTGTTATGGTACACGGAGCAAATGCAGCATTTTAAAAGATCTAGATTTTTTTAGATCATTAATGTATCCTTCTTGGTTGTTAGTCACCTGGTTCCTCCTATTGTGCATTTTGTCCACCACGTAACACATTCTCACTCTTTCAGATTTGGGTTGTTCTCTCGTCCATCGCATTGGTAGGGATGTTTTCAGTGTTTTCTAACAAGAAAAAAATAGTAATTCAAATCGCCATACATGTTATGCATCTAGTCCTAAACCTCTTCCATTATTAAGTTGTCCTAGAAAAACAGCTGAATAAAACTGGAGAAAACACAGCACACCAAAGAAGCAGAATACTGCAAACCAAAGACATTTGTTACTTGCCATTTTCTAGCCTAAAAATACTGTGATTACTTTTAGAAATCAGAAAACCTCTGCAACTCCGAATGGCATTTAGCTCTTGCAATTTGGCTCACCATCAGGCTGAGCAGACAGGCTATGCCAAGGACATCAGCCAAGCCACCCGGGGAATGGCTGTCACCTTCCAACAGCAAGCAGGAGAGCGCCCACAGAACTCTGGGAGATTGCGAAGGTCACCGTGTGCATATTTACCAGTGAATGGCCCCACGTGGGCACCATAGGGGTGTTCAAAGCAAGCCAAACGCTGCAATGATTCTTTACAGACACTTGAGACTGACTTTTTTTTATGAATTACTTAATCGAAACCAAAGAAACTTTTTCTGCACCTACTTCTGCAACAAACAAAACTGTCCCATTAAGGTGAATAAGTAAATATGTAAATCAATGAAAATCACCACCAAGAAGAAGGAAGCACGCCAGAAAAAAAAAAAAAAAATACAGTGAGACACACTGTGTTCAAACAGACCTCTTGGGACATTTTTTGGAAGCAGATTTTAAAGAAAGGGTTGAGACAAGAATGGAAGGAAAACGCCTCAGTGGCTGCTGCTTCATTTGACAACTCACGCGGTAATCTTAAAGTTGAAGATTGTCTTTAATTTGTGCCTATGCAGTTTTTTCAAAAGAACACGGAACAGAGCAACAGAAACCTCAACAGCTACAATACCAAAGATGAGGATTTCTCACACCTTTTGTTTCAGTTCATTATCTCCTCTTGCCTGGCTAACATACTAATAGTACCATTGATCTGTATAAAGGTAATCAATTTTGTTCTGAGCAACGAAAGGAAAGGGTCATTTATTTGATTTTATTGTTTCCCTTTCATTTTGTTTTATGGCTTTCTACCCCAATATGGAATCTCTCAAAAGGTTCCATGGACTCCAAGTTTAAAACGTTGGCATAGTGAACGACTCTCTTCTCTCTGCTCTTCGAAGTGTGGGGAATGATAGTGTCATTTGAATGTTCTTTGCTAATCCCTTAGACTTAAGGTTCCTTCTTTGTTCAGTCTTATCATCAGGGGAGGGGAGGGGAGTGAGGGTCAGGGTTAGGGGTCTTGGTGACACATCCTTGCCCAAGCCACAGAACCAAAGAGTTTATAGAGGAATTGACAGCCTCATTTGATTGCTACATCCTAACAGGGCTTCATTTGGGGGTGGGGGGAAACATGTAAAAATAATTGCCAGTTTCTACTTTTCTATTAGCTTTTTAAAAATCAGCTGTAAAGTTGCATTTCTAAAGAAAGATATATATATAAATATATATAATATATGAACACATATATAGATTCAACTTGACATTGGTGATAACCCCAAAAATTATTGCTGCCCAAATTCATGTCTTGTTTTTGTCCAGTGTTTCACTAATTAAGTGTTCCGTTCAGAATTTTGCTCATTTCTCATGCCATCCCAGAGTTCATTTATCACTATGGGTGACTTGGAGTATTCACATTTCTGTGAAAACCCTGGGAAAGGTTGAAAGTCAAGGGCCACCTTGATAAGCTGTTGATAAATGGATCCATAGTGAAAATGAGTTTTATTTGTATTTGGAGTCATCGCCAATCTATGCCTCAACGGTGATCAAGGTGGTGAGGCCCATCCCCCGTCCCGCCCCAGAACTAGGCCAGGGCCAGTGGGGTGCTCATCTTCAGGGAAGACTCCATGGTCCATTCCCACCAGTTATGGAGATGAGGCCAGCCCAGAAATCTGTTCTCCAGGAGCTTCTCGGTCCAGGTGTGCTAGATCCTCCTTGTGAGTAGATCTACTAAAGGGACTTCTTAAAGGGGAAGCACCTCCCATTGCAGTGGGTTCATCAGGTTTCCTCAGGGTGGTAATTACCAAATTGCATAGACAAGCCTGTGTATAACCACAGCTGGCTCTGGGGTAAGGCGGTGGTGTTGTTGGGGTGGGGGTGGGTCTCAGTCCTGGAGAGAAAATACAAAGCAGGGTCCTGCCCCTGGGAGCCCCATAGTCCCTTGCCTTGTCCCACTCTCACCTTCACCATGTGGGTCTCCCTTCTCAGTGTCAGCAGCCATGGAGCTGCGACTCTCCCAGACTTCTGTCATTTACCCTTCCTGGGCTGTTCCTTGACTTTTCCATGTCTCTTTGTCTCTTGCTCATACTCCATGTCTCCTTTGTCAAATGACCAAAAAAGAGCATTATTTCAGCAGAGGAACACTCCATATTGGTTGATAAAAATGAATTTCAACGTGCATATTTCCGAATGATTCCTCGTGACTTGTAGCCAGTGGAAATGGTTGTTCTATCAAGAGTAGATTGAGCAGCCAGGCCCGCTTGGTTTGATTAGTGATTCTTTGGAACTCTAAATCTCAGCATTTCAGTCTCTGGCTTCATTGGAAGATGTCTAATCCAAAAGAGGCTGCCTTTGTGGCCCGAGATTGCCACACTGGCCCAAATGAGGGGTAGCCACATACACCCTCTGTGTTCCTGGTGACCTGAGCAAGAGGTCATAATGTAAAAATCCAAGAACTCCCCTCCAAGGACTTTTCATAAACGTCTCACCAGATAATGTCATACTAGAGAGGAATGTGTGTTTTAAAAATCATTATGTACATACATGAATACATGTGTGTATCATATATTTATGTATCAAAATTGTAAATCCTACCGAATTTCAATTTGTTAAAAATCTGAAAAGGAAAAAATTGAAAGGTAATGGAATTTGACCCATGAGTTTCCTCAACCATTTTTAAATATTACTTTTAAATTAATAACTTCAGGAAAAAAATAATTGTTTAGTCATGTTATAGTTTAGGGACCATTTCTTCAATCAAAAAATAAATAAATAAATAAAATTCCAGGCATGTCTCAGCCATCAGCAATGGGAGAAACAGTGTGAAGGGACAGTCCTGAACCAAAATTCACAGTTTTGAGGCACCAGAAATCCAAAGTCTATTGAGTGGAAAAATACTTTTCTTTGTTCTTTACTTTTGTTTTCAATGTGATTTTGGTTCCGGGAATATAATTCTTTCATTCCAGGAAATTTTTATTAAGAGCCAATATTTTTTTAAGTAAAGCAGCAACAATAATAAAAACTCAACCCCAACAATAAAGGCTTTTCCAAAATGTAAAATAGTGTGTAGGCTGTACCATTTATAGGTACCAGCGAGAATGAGTCAGGAAGGACCCAGCCTGATGCTTTCTTTGGAAAGATGAGAGCAGTGGCTCTGTAGTATCTTTTTCTGCAGGATCTTGGCAATTATGGACTAAGAAAATGCAAGCTAATTTTCATTCATAGCTAAAGTAAAATAAAAATTAGGAAGGCAAATCTGATACACACATATATACATGCATGTTTGTAAGTCAAACAATGTATTTCAAAGCCAAATATAAATACATTTTAAACAATCAATCATTTTACCTTATCTATGCTGGGCACCCACCTATTAATGCCAATAAATTAAAATTGAACAGATTTTTAAAAATCATTACCATCTGGATAGGGAGAGGAGGACACTTCCCCACTTTTGAAAATATTGATAGAATTACATAGTGTCATGACAGTACACTTTGGATTTCCAGAAAGTTGGATTTGCAGTGAACTTGGATTTTCAGGAAGTTGTATAGTAGAAGTTTTTAAAAATATAAAAAGAACAGGCTGGGTTCCAGTGTTATTAAAGAGTAATAAACTCTATTAACAAGTAGAGAAAAAGAGATGATACATATGGTCCCAGTTTATACCAAAACCCAGACACAAGTAGTGGGAACATAATTATCACTATTCCTAAGAGATCAGAGCTGACTTTTTGCTGTTGTTGCTGCTGATGTTGTATGATTTGGACTTGTTAGCCTAACCGTGGGGAGTGAATGGGAAAATGGTAGATGCAGAAGGAAGAGAGCTGGTGCCTATAGCTTTCTAATGTTTACCTGTGAGACTGACTAGCTTAATAATTTTGTACCTTTCACTAAGACCAAGTCACCTGTAAAAGAGCAGGAGATCCTGCTTATCAAGAAGGTTACAACGTCCTTACCAAAGGAAGAAAGGGCACCTGAATTTGTAAAGATCTCACAAGTTCATGAATTGGCTGTAAATGTGGATGTCCAATGCCAATTTTCTACCCTTTATGTTTTTCTTTCCAGGGACAGGAGAAAGGGAGGGTTTGTTTAATTAGTTTTAGGAAGTCTCAGAATGCTCTATAAAATACAAAAATAATTATTAAAATAAAATAGGGCTTCACATAGGTAGACACAAATCTTATAAAAGGGGCTGATGGGCAATTGAATCCCACAGGACCGGAAATACTCATTGTTCTCAGATACCAAAATGACTCTGACAGTCTTGGGCAAGTTAAAACTGGAGCCCAAGATTTCCTTACCAGTGTTTGAGTTTGCCAACTGGAATTAGCCAGGCAATACCTTTTTAGTCAGGTAACAAGCATAGGAAAAAACACATTGCCATGAGTTTGGTCATCCAATGGAAGTCTTCCACTCTGCCCCATTGTTAGCAGCAGACATTTCAAATAGCATAAACCTGGGCAGATAAGTCTGCCTCAAGCTCACACAGTCTGTCAGCTTGGATGTATACAGGTTTACATACATCTTTCGACATGTATTCTCATGATGTCCTTATAGCCACACACATTACCTATACGTGTCTAGACTGTGCACAGATACCTGCGCGCAGACATCGCCATACACATCTACTTCCATCTGTTACAATAAATACATTTTAAATGATCATTTAACATGTATGTAGTACATCTACTTTGTACATGGTTTTCATTCTTTATTGTAACATGTAGAACTCAAGTTCAGGGGGAGAAACATCTTCCTTGTGTGCACCTGGAATTACCTTCATTTGGGCACATCCAAGATAAACTCAACTTTCAAGAAACCTTGGATGTTCTTTAATCATCTGTGTAAGAATGATACATACGCTTGATTACTTCGGTTGAATAGCTTTATTCTGGATCTCTCATAACTAAAGCTAAATCCAAAGACCTGAAAAGGGGCAAAAAGAATGAAACAAAGGAAAAAAAGGAAAAAAAAATAGCAAAAGAAAGTGCAAACTAGTAGGGAAAAAGTGGACTCTGGTTCCCAGGTTTGAGACAATGGTGACGTGGTATTGTGGGGGCCACGCTAGCTAGAGGGGGGGAAGTGGTGATTATTTTTTCATGCTTGTCACATCTAAATGGTCTTTCTGAGCATAAGTTTTAGAGGTTATCATTTCCTGCTTTACTTTCATTTACTTTATTGAAAGAGGTTAATAAATGTCCATCAAAAAATGAAGACAGTCAAAAGAAACATTTTTTTTCTTGTCTCATTGGGTTATGACCCAACCAGCTATGTAATTAATTTATTTAATTAGTTTTTAGAACAGAAGTGTATAGGATGTGGGTAATTATTTAATCATCCTTCCTTAGTTTGATTTTACTCCTTGTGCTTATTTATCAAAATCTAGACCAATCTCTTGAAGGTTAGTTTGCTTTATAAAGCAGTGAAATTCTGTTACAGACAGGGAAGAAGTACAGGTTACAGGAAAAAAAAAAAAAAAAGATAAATTGAGGTATGTTTCCTTCTTGAATTAACTTTGAAAATAGTTTAAATAACAATTATTAAATTATTTAATTTAAGTTCGCAGCCTCACCTGGTACCAGGCAAACTTCACCTTTGAGTTATTGGGGCCCGCAGAGCCTTCCTAATGTAACTTATTTATTTAACTTATTCAGCACCTGTGAAAGGTGCACTGTATAGTTTATATTTTTTATTTAAAACAACAGAGAGCACTATAGTTTGTTTGCGGTCAGAACAACAGAGCAAAGTCTGTGGACAAGCAATGACTATTCAACTTGAACCTGTGCATTCAGAAAACATAAGCCGAGACCCTGCTTCACCAGCCTGGATTTCGGGGCTTCTATATAGAAACTGGAAAAATACATTTTAAAAAATCGTAACTGCAAAAAGAGAGAAACCCTTACACTAGCTGCTTCCAAGAATGAACTATGTGTGTGTGTAAAACAACAAAACAGAAAAGGAAAAAAAAAAAAAAGCAGAAAAAAGAAGAAAAAAAAAAGGAAAAACTTTCTATTTCTAGTGAGAACCAAAGAAGGCTACCTCACTGACTTTTTCCATTTGTAATTTTAATCGTGTTGAGACACCAAAGATACCAAAGATTTCTTTCTCTGTGCGGTCTGCATTTTGCTTGTGCTCTTTTACAATTTTAACTATTCTCTCTGATGTATGGTATGTACAGCCACAGCTCAGATACCCCAAAGAAAGAATTACCTGTGTGACGGCGGCTGCTAATTTGAGAAGGGATATTTTCTGTGTTTCTCTTGTTTGTCCCCCATCCCTGCCACATGTTCAGGATGCAAATTCAGATGCTGCTGTAATTGGATTCCTTAAATTCCAATGCCAAATGGGTGAAGAAGTCTGGTTGGAAGTGGCCTTCAGTCCTAGCCATGACCTTGTCCTTACTATGGAGCTAAAACGGTCAAGATTTCCAATTACTGGACCATAGAAACTCTAACCACTCAACAGCAGAGCTAGAAGGGAGCTTAGAAATCATTTAGTCAGCACTCTCCTTCCCCCGGAGGCCTGGAGGAGTTAACACTACACAGAGGCAAAGGCCTCCTGCTCCAGTGTTCCATGCTTCCCCTGCAGGAGACAGGCCACACTTGGCAAAGAGCAGGGTGGCAATCCTTTAGCAAGGAGTAGGCCCCGGGCTTATCACTTAACATTTCAGTGGTTAAAAATAGTCAGAGGCATTTCAGTGTTTGTCTAGTTAGAACCTCGATAGGAAGTCACATATGGTCAGTTGCTACAAAAGTGGCCAGCCTTGAAACATGAGGGCCCATCGAGAGGTTTTTGCCTTGGAAGCACACATTGATCCGATGTGATCACAATTGAAGTTTCCCATTACGAAGTGTGCTATCCATACACTTTCATTCAATGGGAAGAGAGAGTTTGTTTGTGGCCAATTGAGTTTAATTATTATGGATATTTTAGGTTGGTATCAGAGAAAAGGAATTTGATTACCATTTGTACAGGTGACATTTACTAGTCAGCTTTTGCCTTTTCTTCTGGAATTGTAGGTGTGTGTTTACATTTCATTTCTAGTGAGAGAACATTAAGCCTATGTCAAGGATTATTTATTGTAAATGACAGATGACCCAAAATTTTAGAGGAATAGACAAGCAAGTTAAGAAATGATTACTTTAAGTTGCTTCTCTCTTCCCTTCTTACTCATAAAATTAGTCTCTTTTATTTTTTATTTTTGCATTACATAATTCAGTCACTCTTAAGGTCCATTCATTAGAGTGACTTGCATGTTGGCCAATGAATCATTCTCAGCTTCTGACCAAATGGGTCTGAGACATATGCAAAGACCCACCTGTCATCTGTACAGCTCTTTATTGAGCACTAGTATTTTGCATTTCACATAGAGATGTAGCTATCTTTGATCTTTTAAAGGGACCATGTACACAAAGAAGCTAAGAAAGAAAAAGATCAATCAGCGCATGCCTTGACCCAGAGTAGCAAGTAAAGGAATTTAGAAGACAGATGACCGCCTTTAGGAGACTCACTTATCCCCTTCCTGTGGTTTCCAAGCACCAGACTGATGTGCGAAAGTTCCCTCCAGTCCAGACAAGCTGAAAGGTCCACCTTCCCTCTACATGGCAGGCTTGTAGGGCCTTCCTTTCAAACAGCACGTTGCATTGGTTTTCTTCCCCAATTCCTACTGGCAACAGAAGTCTCAAAACACCTGGGAGGCCCACCAGAGATCTGAGCATTCAGCAGCAGAGTGCTCCCCTCTAAGCAAAGACCACCTCCCCTGCAAGAGGGAACCTAGAGGGAGCGATGGCAGCCTGAACACAGAAAACATCCCCAATTGGCAGACCCCTCCTCAGCAATCTCCCCTCAGCCTCATGCTTCACTTGCAAAGTGTGACATAACCACGGGACGAGTGCCTTGCTTGAACCAAAGCAACGATTTAGCCAGTCTGGACCTCTCTGTGCTTTTTTTAATCCTTCCTGTGAATACCTCAGCTTCAACTGGGCCTCCATACAGTAAATTGGTGGGCTTATTGTACTGTGGTGCTTTGCAACGCAACCCTGCAAAGAACAAGATTTATAATACCAAAGGTTCTCTCTGTCTCTTCCTTCTGCTCCCCGTCCTTCTCCCTTTTCTAGTTCTTCACGGTTCCAAAGCTTTAATATGAACCCTGGGCATGTTGGCAATGCAGACCGCGCAATTCCTTACCGAATTTTCTCAGATATACCTCATAGATAATAGTGTTTAGAGTAATGTTATTATAGCGTATGTAATAAATATTCACTGTTTCTTTTTGGTAACTGTGATTTAAAAAAAGAAAAAAGAAAAAAAAAAGCTTTATATGTTTTAGGTTGTGCTTTTGTAATAGACGAAAAGGTGCGCTTAAAAAAATGTATGTTCTTTTTTTTCCCCCTTTGGGTTTTATTTATTCTTGATTGGGGAAAGTTGCAGAATGAGCCCAAAGTTTACAGTTTCATATTTTGCTGAAGAAACAATCTGTGTTCATTTGCTCTGTTGAAAAAAAATTATTATTTTCTACATTTGTGCTACTTGGTCTGAACAATTAATTGTTCTGTGTTAACAGTGTAGTATTATAATTAGCAACTGCCAATCAGTGTGCTATAAGTTTATGCATGAGGCTAAAAACTTAGCAGTGTGATGCATTGTGGTCTTAATAGCAACATTTCATTTTGAACTAGATCGTCCTTCCCCTTTGGTTCAATGGACTTTATTTATGCATGGGCGCCAATCATTTGTTAGCGGTTGTGGAACAGTTGTGTATACATTAAACTGTGAAAATATACACAGTTCAGCCTCAGGCAGTGGTAATATTGGTTTCCATGGGAGATATCTCACCTCGAAAATACCTTCACATCTGTTGGGATTTCAAAATGAGTCTGTTGAACTGGGTTCAAATTTTATGAGAACAGTCATTCCAAGTTTGAGTTAGCCAACTTGTTGTCCACAACCGGGATCCTTGTGACACAGCTGTCTCATGCTGTGCAAGAGGGGTTTGGAAACAAGCATTGAAAACAACTCAACTCTGCATTTTCAGTCTCCACAAAAGGGCATCATTTTGGCTTTATGTTCATGACCTCAGACCTAACTAGCCATGTGCATGGAGATGTGAATCCATCCAGCTCTCACCTCTCCTGACTCTGTTTGGGAGTGACCACTTGAATTATGCTTGGTTTCTTCTAGTATTTTGTTGTCAGGTCAAATGCCCAATAGAAATTCAAATGACATCTGTATCAATCATTATTCTATGGCTTTTTATTGTTTTGTCCATTCTCCTGGATAACTCCACCAACTATTCCAGTGATATGGGCAAAAATAGATGACCATTCCCTACAGCATCACCTGTGCAGCCACATCGTGGTTCTTCTTCCCCAGAGATGGAGAGGACTCTAACTTGCTCTTTCCTGCCCAACAATACGACATCTATCCTGAATGGGAAGTGGAAGAAGTTTTGAATTCCTGTTTCAAAAAACCATCTTGCTTTAAACTCTCTAGTTATCTGAGGCTTGAGATCTCAAAAAGTATTTTTCATTTGCAAATGAAAACTTGTTCTTTCTTATATTTTGGTTCTGAGACCTACTCTCCAGTTTCATACCTATTTCCCAAACCAAAATGTTGACATAAAGCCAAATCAACTGCCAAGCACACTTTGCATAGGAGAGTGCAGCCCAGAGTTGGGAAAGCAGCAGCCTGCTATGCAAAACATTGGAAACCACCAACAGTAAAGCATTCATATTTCCTGTCAATGAGACAATGCTGGGAATTAATTTTCATTAATAACACAAACTTTTTTTTTGCCTTATAAAGTAGAGAGATGGTGATAATGAAAGCTTTGTAATAGTAGTCTTTTTTTATATATATTTTCCCCTTATTAACCTGCCAAAGATGGGAATGGATACAAGAATTTTAAGTTGGCTTTTGTAAGACAGTTAATGATTGTAATCGTGTTTAATCTTTCAGAAAACTTTGTGTTCTTCCACAATAAACCGAATCGAATATTTGTTTCAGTGAAGTTTTCACACTCACAAACCCACAAACAATTCCTCTTGATGCAGGTATTGTAGTATCTACAAGGTTCAAATGCATTTTCCATCCAAAGTAAACAGAGGAATGTCTGAGGCATGAAGGTGCCCTGCCCTTTTTATTATAAGCAACGCACGGGTCTGGTCCGCTAGGATTTGCCAAGAAGTCTTGTCATATGAAACTCGAGGTATATTTTGTTATGCCATCCTATGTCTTTTTTTTTTTTTTAGACTTTGTGGAAAGTGATATGTTGAATCAAGTGTAAGCTGAGTTTTCCAGACAACTGACGTAGCTACATCGTGAATGTTATTTTGTTATTAAAGGGTTTTTACTCAATGCTTTGTGCCCGTGGGTGTCCTTTTCCTTGGAGACACAGAACTGTGGGATTACCTCAGTGTGGCCTGGATTTTGCTCCTGCTCTCATGGTGGGAATGTGGGCCGGCCTGAGAAATGGAAGGTCATGGGCTAGAAGGTCGGTGTTGTCTCTAGGAGGAGTTCTCCATAACTATCAGCTTTAAAGAGAGCTGGGCCTAAACTTTCCAACCTTACTCCCTCTTCACCCAGCACGTCTCCGGAATCCCTTGGCCTTGAGCACATGCCAGCATGCAGGCAGGCCCCAATTTTTACAGAAAAGGCAGGAAGAGAAAGTAGTAATCCTCAGTCTTCGGTGGCGCAGCAGGCAAGCACCTTCCCCCAGGCTAGGCTCCACCAGCCAAGGTGAGGGCAGCCAACTGTTGGCTTCACCTGCACCATCGCTGAAGGTGTCTTCCTCCCCACTTAACTACTGTAAAGGGTCCAAGACCCCACAGTCCAGGGAGCTCTTCCAAACCAACCCCCATCACTCTTCCTGTGCATTCTGGCTTAGCTATTTCATCTATAATTTGTGCAGAGGATTGTTTGGAAAACAAAGAAAGGCATGGATGGGTTTTTCTGTGATTTTTTTTTTCTTTCTAATTTACATCTTAGCTAGTCCCAGGTCTTTGATTGGAAAAACACAAGAAGGAAAAGGAGACCTCACTGCCACTCTCTCAGGGGCCATGCATACTGCTCATGCTGTGGATCTTTCTTAGGAGACAGACTGGACCTCAGCTACTGAACCAAGAAAATGGCCCATCAATGCCTACATTATCACTGCCTGAAAGACCTCTTCAAAAAGCTATAGAGTTCATGGTTTCTTCCCATTTTCTTTGCTTTGTCTCAATTTGGCATTTAGCTTAAGTTTCTATTCAGGGGAGTTTTTATTTGTTTGTTTTTTCATTTGTTTTAATCCTCACCTGAGGCTAATTTTCCATTGATTTTTAGAGTGGAAGAGAAAGGGAAAAACAAAGAGAAATATTGATGTGAGAGAAACACATCAATTGGTTGCCTTCTGGATGAACCCCAACCAAGGCCCAAGCCGGGGAGGAGCCTGCAACCAAGTTATATGTCCTTGATCAGAATCAAACTCAGGACCCTTTGGTCTGCTCTCCCCACTGAGCCAAACCAGCTAGGGCAGAGGGGAGTTTTGTTTTGTTTTATTTTATTTTCAGATTATAACAGGGAACCTGGTGAGAAAGGTTAAGTATTCAAAGACTGTTAGCTGAGTAATTATATCATTAACAGATACTTCCTTGAAACTAAATTATTTCCTTTCTTTATTATGTCATTTTGTGTAACAAAAGTCTAAATGGTACCAGCAAACTTCTTATCATGAAAGGCTATATGACATCTGGCAAATTGGAATTTCTGAAATAAGAAGACAACCTCTGTACTGACAAAATGATAACATCTAAGCTTGGCAGGCAGAGACTGAGATTGTAACAGGCATAATCTTTTGTTGTTGTTGTTGTTAATCCTTATCCAAGGATATTTTTTCCATTGATTTCTAGAGAGAATGGAAAGGAGGGGAAAAGAGAGAGAGAGAGAGAGAGAGGCATAGATGTGATAGATGTGAAAGAGACACATCAATTAGCTGCCTCCTGCACATCCTCTGACCTAGGCCAGGGATTAAGCCTGTAACCCAGGTACATGCCCTTGACCCAGAATTGAACCTGGACCCTTTGGCCCACAGACCAAAGCTCTAACCACTGAGAACACCATCCAGGGCAACAGGCATAATCTTGGTTCTAGTTTCTTTTCCAATTCATATCTCCAATCACCAAATCTTATTCTCTCCCCACCCCCACCCCCAATCCTAGAGCATTCCAGTCTCTTCTCCCCTGGGCTAGGATGCCAAAGAACTTCACGGGCAAAGATATTTCAGGGTTGACCAACATTTCAGTTAGTTCTCTTCTTTACCCTTTGCGTTTCTCAAAGAAGTTGTGTTTTTGGACTGGAGAGAAAGAGCCTGGCCTTTTTTATTTTTCCATCCTTCCTCTTCTGATCTTTCTTCCCATGTTAACCTTTTCTTAGTACAGGAACTATAGATTCTTTCTTGGTCAATGAATTCTTGCTAGAGAAACCATCCTCCCACCAAAGGGAGAACATCTTTCTTTCACTGATTGTTGTTCTCCAGATTGAGTCAGTCCTTTTTATTTCACATGCTGGCCTGTGGGGCTTGAATTCTTGCTTCCAATCCGGTGGTAACTTTATAATTTTAAAGAGGACTAAAATGAGGGAAAGGAGAAAGAGGGAAAGAAGAGAATTTGCCCCAGCTCTGTTTAAAGTTTAAAATAGAAAGAAGAGAGCCTTTAAGCCCCGGGAAAATGGCTACAGGGTGGTTATCCTCCTCTGTGACAGCCCATGCTCCACCACATGGCTTCTAGGTCAGTTCTTCCAGAAACCCAGCCCAATAGTAAAAATCCAGCCTCTGTGCCTGGGTCTCTATCCGGATTCCAAGGGGACAAGAGATCAGAGTCACATGCACAGCTCTGGTCCCAGTTCCTGGCTTTTACATATGTTATTTCCAAGAAAATCAGACAGGGGAGGGACTTAAATTTTCACTTTTTAGTCAATCTCTTTGACATCACCTCTCATGTTTAAAATCAGGAAAACACGCCCCTCAAATTGCCATTCGCTTCTGTTTTGAAAAAGAAAACCCTAGTTCGTCCACAATCTTAGTTTCTTTTCACCCTGAGCTAAATTTCCAAAGCATAGTATGACCTAGATTTTGCCCCATCTCAGACATGTTAAGTCAGACTGTGCTGAAAGACTTCCCAGGGATGGTCAGCAAGGTATATGTTCAGTGGCTGCCCTGAAATCCTGCTGGGGATGAGGATCCCATACCATTAGCGGGGGGGCTCCTTACCCCTTGATAAGGTCCCAGTTTTGGGGAAGATGTCTTTGAATGTTAATTGCATTTTCAATTTACTTAATTCCCCCCCTAATGGTTTGTCTGCAACACTGCTTACACTGGATTCTTTCTATTTTTCTTCCTATCATTAAATGGTAGTGCTGTAAATTCTGCAATTAATGTCAAATAAACTGCTTTCATTCATTGACCATGGCTCAGTCGGCTTTTTTCTCTTTTCATGGAAAGGAATAGCATCTTCCCTCCCATCCCGCCCCCCCACACACACACACACACTGTTACTGTATCCCACTGTGGTTCCTTAAAGGACAGGAAAGTTGTCTGCTTGGTAGAACTGCAACCTCTTACCTCTGCCAGGATGCAAGGCAGATTTTATAATCAAATCTCTCATTCATGTTAACAATCACAAATGGTTAAGGATGTCCCCGTAAGCCTGCCTTTTTCTTAATCCATCAAAACTTTAGTTAACTTATCCTAAAATTATTCTTGTACAGATTTCAAATGAGCTCACATGTGCTAAAGCAAAAAGAGGATCACATTATTGCCACCATATTGAATAATCAATAAAAACAAACAAATTTGGGGCCTCCCATGAAATCTAAGCTGTGCCACACGTTAGTTATATGGCTTTGAGTAAGTCATTGAGCTCTCTGGGCTTCAGTCTCTCCAACAAGGTTAGGTTGGGATAAGTTATATCTAAAGTGCCTTCCATTTTTTTGTCAAAAAATATTTTGAAGATATTTTTAGTATAGGTCACATTTTGGATTATTATTTTCTCTAAGATAATGCACTAAAGAATTCTTTTTAAAAATATATATTTTATTGATTTTTTTTTTACAGAGAGGAAGGGAGAGAGATAGAGAGCTAGAAACATCGATGAGAGAGAAACATCGACCAGTTGCCTCTTGCACACCCCCTACTAGGGATATGCCTGCAACCAATGTACATGCCCTTGACTGGAATCGAACCTGGGACCTTTCAGTCCGCAGACCTACGCTCTACCACTGAGCCAAACCGGTTTCGGCTAAAGAATTCTTTTATTTGCTTTAAACTTAACTATCCCCGAGCTTCAAAAGAGTTCTATTAGGTAAATTTTGGTCTAAGTTAGGGGTGTCGAACTCAATCAGAGAAGGGGCCAAAATCTAAAATCCAGCCTAAATCGCGGGCCGAATGGTTTACTGAACAGTCATCAACTGTCATTGTGATGGAAACGCAGCGGAGTGCAGTGATGACAGCGCGGTGCAGGCCACATTGCAAGGCCTGGCGGGACGGATTTGGCCAGCGGGCCTTGTGTTTGACACATGTGGTCTAAGTGAAAGACCCACCTATAATTCAGTCCAGGAAGTACTAAGTGCCTTAGTGGTTTTCAGTTCTGAATATACATTAGATTCACCCAAAGAGCTTTTTTGTTGTTGTTAATCCTCACACAATAGAGTATATAGATGTCATATTATAAAATTGCATACCTGGAACTTATATATTGTTATTAATCAATGTTTCCCTAATACATTTAATAAATAAATTTTTAAAAGTCTGAGGCTCAGAGAGGTTAAGTAACTTGCCCTAAGTAACACAGTAGCAGAATCAGGATTTAAACTGAGAATCAGCAGCTTCAAAGAGCACCTGAAAATACATTAAAGTGCTTATTGCAAGGGAGAGAGCCATTTCATGGCACTTGTGGCAAGGCCTATCTGTGAATACCAAGTCATAAGGCATTACTCAACAATTAGCCTTGACAATAGAGGTGTAACTAGTAAGAAAATAAACTTGCTTATTTTGCCCTGAAAAGAATATTCATAAAAATCGTCATGAATTAAGTGTGAGGTCATATGCAACATTTAGGTTCTTTACAGTAGCTAATAATAGCCACCCAAAGGCTTTGAGATGGGTAAAAGCAACCTACTTATTTTAAAGGAAGTGAAATAACAGATTCTGTTTCCTAGTTCAGGCACAAAAATACTATGCAAACTATGTACTATGTAAGCTCAATGCAGTCTGAGGTCTCTGTCCTGTTGGGAGCACTAAACACACTCCAAATAGACCAACACACCGTTGGTTAGGACAACTTGCTGACCCAAGAGTGAAGCTTGAACAACTGACACACACA